ATTATTTTTTATTATTAATTTTTTTTTCTTGGAATGAGGAGAAAACTAATTAGGCTTCTCAAGAAAGTATATGATGCTTCATTGATGCGGATAAAGTTAAATCATGAGCTCTCAGAAGAGATTGGTATCAGTCTGTGCCTGCTTCAGGGGGAGAGTCTTTGTCCTGCATTGTTTATCCTGTTTGTGTCGGATATAGTTGAGTACTTCCGTAACCGAGGATCTGTTGGTATTAGGATAGACCACAACCATGAAGTAGTTATGCTTCTGGTAGCGGATGATATTGTGCTCCTCAGTAATTCGTGGCATGGTGCACAAAGAAACATCAATATACTGAGCGAATACGGTAAAAGCAAATATTTGACCCTAAATTCATCTAAGTCTAAGGTGTTGGTATTCCATAAATCTCCAAAGATGAAGAAAGTTAAGACTTTAGCTTGGATGAAACACCAACACCTTAGACTTAGATGGATTTAGGGTCAAATATTTGCTTTTACAGTATTCGCTCAGTAAATTGATGTTTCTTTGTGCAACATGCCACGAATTACTGAGGAGCACAATATCATCCGCTCCGAAATCTCCAAAGATGAAGAAAGTTAAGACTTTAACTTGGCGAGACACAAGTTTGGAACCTACCAGAAACTACACATATCTGGGTATACGCTTTTCTTCTTCTGGAAAATTTGAGAGAGCCGCGGAGCATTTCTTACATAGATCATCTGTTACAGCGACCAAAGAGATGGTAATCCTAAGAAATGGAAAAAGCGACTCTTGGGAGACAAAAACCAGCCTCTTTGACTCGATGGTCTCGTCATCACTGCTCTATGCGGCAGAGATCTGGGGGCCAAGATACCTGGAGGTTTTAGAGAGGACGCAAGTTCGATTTATCAAGTCATTGCTCCATTGGCCAAGAAATACACCGAACTATGTGGCTCGCCTTGAAAGTGGGAGATCTCCATTAATTGTTGAAAAAAGTGATCAACTATTGGACAAAGCTAAGCTTAATGAGTGACGAAAGACTAGCTTTGTCTAAGTATGTATCACTTATTTATTAAAGTGTTGGAAGAATACAAATATAGGGAATATATATATATATCGTTACTAATCTGTTATTATATTAGTCATACTTAATGCAGTGGACATTGTTAATGTTATGTTTGAATGCAGTACTAGACTCATGATCTAACATTGTTAATTATACCATTATATTTATTTGTACAGGAATTTCCTTAGACAAATAAAGTAAACTATACTATACTATATTTTTTTATATTATAACCACTATTTCATTAAAAAAAAAATATTAAAAACCAACTTATATAGGTTATTCACTTTTGTTTTTGGATTTTTACATAGTTATTATATTTAATAAATATATGATTAAGTTTATACGAAAAAAATTTTACTCTCCAAACATTTTGATTGTGATGCAATAATAATTTATATTAACAAATATAATCTAGTACTAACCTCTCAATACCATATGGATATCATTTATTTTTATTATTGTATATCGTATTATATCAATCGTATTATATAAAATAATAGCCTATGGACAGTATTATGCTATCCAGTTGTATTAGTAAACAAACGAATTATCTAATAATTCATCAAAGACGCTGTTGGAGATGGCTCAATTACTACTGTTACTATTACTTACCTTGATAAGAGATAGTGGGGTTTAGCTATTACAGGTGACCTCCCTTTGCGGGACCCTTCGATAATTCAAACCCCTTCAATAATAAACAGGGTTGGAAATAGCACTTCAAGGGCGAGGTTGCTGTTTGCCTAGCTTATTGAGCAACACTTGAGAGCAACAGGCTCAATAATAGTCAGCTTATCGATTGAAGGTTCAGGCACACACTTTCTGCATATCACCTGAACGTCAGAAAGGTAATATTTTGTCCTTACAGGGAGAATAATTGAAATTTTACCTTAGTATTATGGAAAGCATTATGGGAACACGTGTCCTAAGGCTGGAATCCCTGAGGATTTTTTTTCCTCCCCTAAAGAGATTGGTTTTGGAACGGAACATCTATCGTGGAGGGGATTTTTTCGGCCTAGCTATTTGAATACACAAGCAGCAGACGTGCCTAAAATACAGAAATAATTATTATACATCTCCGTATCCCAAAAAAATACCAGAGAGACTATAGATTTCTCATAATTCAGAGTCACGTTAAAAAAAAAAAGGATTATGCCTCATTTATACCGACATACCAAGCATTTAAAATAATTTATTGCGTTAACTTAAATGCTATGTCAGATCAATAATATATTTATAATGCAAACTACTAAATGCGATTTGGAAACAATCTGTTGGCACCTATGGAGAATACTTTACAAAAGTTATTGAAGTGTAATACTTATACATGAAATAGTTACTATTGAACATGAAATACTTATTATAAATAAATAAATAAATTAAAGATATATTGACAACAGACATTATGTTTTACAATATTTATCTTAAATATGACAACAGAACTATTTTCCAAGTTTCAAAATTTTACTAATATTTGAATAAATATTATATTTCACTTTCGATAGCCGAAGAAAAATTGAGAACATATCATCAGTAGGAAGCTAGAATTCTTCAAGTTCTCATAGACCTATCTAGTATATGATCAACAATAACAGAGACATACAATTGCCTCTCAATTATTCGAAATCCAATGGACCAACCGAATTAGTTAGAGAAAAGAAAAAACAAAACTTGAATCGTTAATTGTTTTTAAAATATGCATGAGCTTACGTAAATTTTAGATACACATAACATCAAGGAAATTAATTAAAAATAATTAAATCCACAAAAAAAAGAACAAATAAAATACGTATTAACATTGCAATAGATAAGAAAATACCTTTAAAAAATTTGAGAATATTTTTTTTGTTTCAATGTAGCTTGGCTTGTTACAAAGCATTCGAACACAATATGTTTGCATGTACTTCTGCCATGCACTGTTCGTGACAGACTAAAGAGAATTTAGAGGGAGTTAAGATGGGCTGAATGAATGTAAACATTGCACGAAAAATGACAAGTAAACATCTCTAGGAAAAAATCGAATTATAAGTAGAGGAAGTGGCCTAGTTCGAATTATAGATCGTTCTTCCTTCCCTTTTTTACGAAAAGGATTTCGAATTATTGAGAATATCAAAATACAATATTTTCTAAAGCTAATAGCTGCAGAGTTAGAATTATAGAATAATTCGAATTATCAAGATTCCAATAATACTGGCATACAAAAAAAAAAAAAAAAAAAAAAAAAGTAATAATTTCGATTATAATAATAACTGTAGAGAGCTTCACAATATGTTAACCAGTTTGAACTCATCATATCACGTTTATAACCTCAATAGTTTTATTCAATGTACCATATCAGCAAACGAAACATTTCAAAAAATTAATCTTTAAGTGAATTGAATATTAATTTTATGAATTACTCTTTAAAAATATATCAAATAAACAAAATAAAATTTGCATACACCAATTTCTGTACTTCATTGACTTGATTAATAATTATTTTTATGTAGTGAAGGTGTTCAGGTACTGAACACATTCAGTAATGGCTACATACCCTGTTGAGGCCCCACATGCTTCGTTTGAAACGTCGGCAACAATTAAAATCTTAAAATGATTGTTTCCTGATAATTTATCAACTATAGACGTAGAACAGTCGACTAACTTCCTTCAATAATAATTATTTTATACTGCAAGTGCAATATCAGTGTGCAGCACGCCATTGTAAAAGCAATATTTCATTTTCATAATAAAAAAATAAAATAAAATATTAATATTTTTCAATGCATGCATCTAATCACAACCAAATGGGTTGAAGTCAAACTGACCACTTTAAAAACATAAACAGGCATAAACAATTTGAACAGTGCATTTTCCGAGTAGGTTAGAGTTGATGTCCAAGGGACCTATTGACTTGCCCCACTGTGCGACATCTCTGTATGTTAAGAATTTAAAAGACTTGTTTTCGATTTGGAATTTGTTACCTTTTTAATTAATGTAGTTATTATTCCTAATGAATAAAAACGTCGACAGTTTACTTAGTAGGAATCCCTGTAGAATTTTCAACACGTTATATGTCACGATGACTTTTAAAACTATTAGTTGATGCATCCATAATAGCATGAATATACAAGATATACAAATAATAAAAATAGTCTTTAATAGTATCTTAATTATTGAGTATAGGTCTAATCTTCATTAGTGCTGACCACCAATGTCAGAGGATGAGAGACGACTTAGACAAGACCTAAAATGTAGCTTGAAACGCAGGCAATCAATAAATATAATTATCACATATTTTGTGTTTAGCTTTTTTGATCTAACCTCTCTCCCTCCCCTCCGACTAGTAACCTCTTCTTAAAAATAATCCTTGACGGTTATGTTTATAAGATGTAACACTCAGTGTTAAACAAGACGAAGAGCAAATTGAGTTTCATCGACTCTAAAATAGATGTTATTAATGTAAATAATTATCCTTCAATGTGGCAGATTGTATGAGGAGAGAGAAACACTTTATTCTCATAAAATATAAAGGATTGCTGCCCAATTATATTGGGTTGCTATATACACAGCATACTCTTCTATCCTTAAAACAATACATGAACTTATATATAAATATACAGAAGTATTAGTTAATATTAGTAAAATAGAAATATATATATATATATATATATATATATATATATATATATATATATATATATATATATATATATATATACATTTTTATTATTTTATATATTTTTATAATTTTTTTTTTTTCCTTTTTCTTTCTTCTCATTGTTCATTTTTTTTTTTTTTATTTAACATTAAGTTTCCCTTTCTCTCACTTCTCTCTCTTTATCTCTATTGTTTTCAATTATTCACTAAATAAATAAATAAACAAATACATAAATTAAAACTCTCGGGCTAGCCATGCACGTGGTGGTGAATGATTCCCAGGGAGTCGAGGACTATATTTTCAGCCAACCTCGCTACGTCCTTAATGTCGACACCTAGTTCCTCGAGGAAGCTCCTTGTTCTTTTTGGGATAGTTCCGCGAGACCCAAACCAGAGGCCTCTCACGGTGAACTCTCTCTCCGAAGGTCTCATGGAATTTCTCTTTTAGGAAAGGGATACATTTATCGTACGTGTTCTTCTTTTCCCTTTCCACTTCACCCGCCTGATCGAGGTCATTGCTCTCAAAGCGGACAGTTGGATCCAAGATCAGCGCTGTCAATAAAAAAAAAAGAAAATAAACAATGGTTCCAGCTTAGACATATTGATACTTTTTTTACTTTTGTTTGTCAAATTTCATTCATGCAGTCATTTCATTCATTATATGATTTTATAATTTTGTTTTTATTTTTTGATATTCATCTGTACCTGTTGACAATCAGCAGAAGGTCTGATTAAAGTAATGAGACTGATATATCAGGCATAGGGAAGGTTAGCACCAAGCAGTACCTCTTCTCTGGCTTTATTCAATTACATGGTTTTCTGTAAGAAAGAAGGACTCTCATCCAGCGCCTTTTTAGTTTCCTCTTCGTATTGCTGGGCCTTTCAACTGAAGCCCTATATTTCTTATTAGTATCTTAGTATGTCGGTGTAAATCAGTATAAAATTGTTTATAAGTTCTTATGTGTTGGTCAGCTGCTCGCATGTGGAAGTCAGTGTGTAAGGTTTTGTTAGTAACGTAATAAGGTGCTTTAGTTATGAGTCGTGATATTTATTTATTGGAAAGTTTCTAGTTTTCGTGAGTGGATTTCTTTAGCTACACCAAATATCTGTGGGTAGCATATCCGTATAGATTTAAGTAAGCATATGTATTTATTTTTAAACTTGATTTTTAATTTATTATTTTTAAAAGAAAATTTAGTGAGATGTTTTGTTAAACAAATATTGTTTGTATGTCGAGTAATTATTTTTCATAAGATTGTACTATTTTTTTTGTTAATACCTACATTCAATACTAATATTAATAACATCATAAAAATGTTGGAGTTATATTTAGTGTTACAATGTTTAGAAATGGGTGTGAGAGGATTTATTTTTGGATTGATCATTTCTTCACACAATGTTTTTCCATTTTTACTTGATATGTTCGATATTATATGTTAAGAGCAGTAAGCTACAGTAGTGAAATATTTTTAACATGAGTTAAATTGAATTAAAAATTTGACATATTTAGAAAACTATGATTTCCCAGATTCTACTATACAAAAGAGGAACGACAATGGATGCAAACAATACTATCGAAGTTGTATTTCGGTCCCATTGTTCTCTGCCCGACTGACCTGTTTTCTCTTCAGTTATTCACCATTCATTCACTATTAATGTGTATTAGCTTGTTCTAGAGGTTTGTGCTGAGGCCTACGTTATCTCGGAGCTGGTACATTGTATTACGTCTAAAGTTACTTATTAAATAGTTATAATCATCTTTAATTAAAAAAAAAAAAAATAATAATCGAATTGGTGATAGCAAAAACCACTCAATTAACATATTCGTGATTTTGAAAAATAAAACAAAAAATAACTATTTAATAGTGAAATTTTAGATAAAACCTACATGAAACACATTGTGCAAACAACCAATTTTTATATTATTTATAATATTTTTAGTAACATATGTATCATTAAATAATTTTTTATTTAATTTTACAATTGTTTTGTTTCTTGAAAAGACTAAACAACACTAAACTTGGAAAGAATAGAATAATAATAATAATACTATAATATAAAAATAACAGCATACTAAGGGCGATGGAAATATCTTATTATTTTCAGAATTATATGTATCTTGAAACATATAACTTAAATTTTGAGGGGTTTAAATTCTTTTCCTTCAATTTTTGTTGCAAATGTTTTTTATTGAGTATTTTAAGCAATGCATTATGGAATATGTGTATTTTCGTTTTTCTATTTTTACTAAAATATAATTGATAATAAATACGTCATTGTATACGAAAGCACTGGCAAAACGACACATTATGAAAGTAAATGATTCAATTGAACTGAATTTAAAAAATATATGTTTTCAGCATTGGTTCTAAATAATAATTTTTTTTTTTTGTTGGGGTGATAATGATCAAAACACCATCTAATGAAATTTTACTGAAGATATTTAAAAAATTAGAATGGGACGCTATATTTGTGTGTTGATGTATCTAGTCCTATCATAAATATTGTTACAAGGAAATATGTAGTAATTTCAACAAAAAAATTAACTTTTTCAAAAAGTTTATTAGAAAATAAAATTTATATCAATAGATACTAAAACAAAAAAGAAATGACTCAAAATGTCCCCATTTTGCATTGACACAGGCATTTAATCTCCGTGGCCAGTCATCAATAGCAATAGCCACTTCTTGAGAAAAGCACTGAACTGCACGGACCAGAGATTGTTCGAGGCTTTCTAAATTATGGTGTTCTGTGTGGCATGCCATCCTCTCCAGATCGGACCAAAGCTGATAATTTAGTGAGTTGAGATCATCAGGGCTTCCTGAGGGCCAATCCGAGGCCGAGATGAACTGTGGAATGTTCTTTTACAGCCACTGAAGAATTGACCTGGCATTGTGAGCTGGAGCGGAATCCTACTGGAAAATCTAATGACTTCCAGCAAACAGAGTATCATTTAGATACTTGACAAGTAGTTACAAAAAATTCTTCGAAATGCACTCATCCTAAGGTCACTTTATGTTATGGAAGACATTGATCTGACAGAGAATCCCATTTACCGAGACATGATTTGTTGTTTTCGAATGGGATTTCTTTTGATTCCTGCAGCCACTACTCTCACTGCATTTGCCGTTCAGTGCGGGGCCCGGTCGAGGTCTGTCACATACAGATAGGATCTCATTATATCTATTTATAGTGAGGTACACGTATATACGGCTGATACCTAAAGGTTTTAAAGTGTTGAAAATCTCTGACCTACATTTTCCAACTTTGTGTGAGACAATCAGAGCTATTCTGTTTTCTTTATAATCCCACTCTGTGTTAATTCAGCCAAAGAAAAATACAAACTAATTGGGATTATTATCCTATCATGTAGAGACAAGAATCTGATACAGGTAAGGATTATCGAAGTAATACCTAAAGATGTAAACAAAGTTCAACTTTTGTAACAGTATTTATGGCAGAAGTAAATCTACTATTTGGCCTGCGTGAATATTTCGTACGGTATATCTGTCAGACGATAAATAGTTATATAATATGGAAATAAATAAATACATTATTTTATAAGAAGTATGAAACATATATTTCTCGGTCACTTACAATGGCTAATTAATAAAAATCATAACCCTGAACGTTTAAACGAATTTCAACAGACAGGATCTTTGCCAATAATAGTCAGATTTCAATTTTTTTGTTTGTTTCTCATGTAATTTGTAAACCGTCGGACTTATTACGTGTATGACGCATGTATCTTATATAAATAAAATGTACATTGTTTGAATTTTGCACAAATAAATGTTCAGATTGACTTTATTTATTTCTGACACTACTAAAAAAAAAAATAACTATGCCTCCTGTCACAGTGAAATTCTGAATGAAACTATACCTTGTTCTTAGCCTGCCTTATATTTGTTGGTTCACTTGTCTATTGTAAGATCGTACTGAAGTCGTTTCTCTTATTGGTTGTTTAACAAAAAATATAAAATAAAATTTTGTTTTTTAATGAAAATATTTAATGTGTTGTAAATTTTTCTTAAATTGGAAGGGAAGTCGTGTGAGGGGACGCATCAGACATTTCGAATCCAAGATGAATGGTGTTTTGCTACAGTATAAGATGAAAACAACATTCTTAAAGAAATAACTATAGAAGATTTAGTAATCGGAAAGGGATTTGTATCGTTTGAATAGTTAATTATTCTTCAGACTGGGAGTGTGGCTCTACTGGGTCGAAACACAATTAGAGAAGAGGGCGGACTTCTTGATCTCGAGAGCCAGGGACTTAGCGATGACAAATTACTGTTGGCAGCTGTTGGTAATCAGTCTTGGATTGGAAGAGTCAATATTTATTTGTCAGTTATGTCAATAATTTTTTTTTTATTTGGAAGCATTTATTTTTAGAAATTATTATTGAGATTAATAATCAAGATTGTTTTTTTAAGTATGAGTGTTAATAATGGTATTTAGAGTTACTGAAAAAAAATCTGGTGAGTCTTTCTTACCTATTGCAGAAAAGTTTTTATATCTTTACATATGTTCATGAAGAAACAAAAAAAAACTGGAATTATTTTCCTGAAAATTGATCAAAGAAAAGATTTGAGTACGATTTATTTGATGAAGAAAAGCAATGTAAACCGGCTTAAGGCAGATCAGTGTAAAAAATTCAATACTCTCTAATATCGCTGGTCAAAAACTTTTTGCCATAGCTTAGTATTGTCAAACAATAATTTATGTTAAAAGTATAGAAAATAGTGAAGCTTGTGTGATGCGGGCGACAGATTTTCTTACTTTCACTTTGTCATCTTTTTTCTCTCATTCACCCCTTTCTGACACAAAAATATGAACCCGTAATCTTACATTGGAAATTGAATAGCTGTAACTTCGTTAATATTTGTCCAAAATGAACAGCATTTTTACGCGTTAACTAAGGGGGCTCTGAAACGTATAGATCCGTCGAACAACCGCGTATCGGAAATTTGACCCGATTGCAATACTTTCCTTACCTAGTAAAGGTATGAAAGTAATAAGTTAAAACTTATGTAAAAAATAGAATAAGCTGTATCATCGCTAATACTGGCTCGATTCCGATGATCTTTTTTTTGTTTTGTTAACAATTTAATTACCTTTCAAACAATTTAATTACCTTTGTGCTCTCGACCAATCTCCGCTGGCTTTAGTATCAGTGACGCGGTCGGGAGAGTAGCGTAGGGTTCTCCTGGAGTTCCCTCGCCTGATTGTATATGTGAGGTATGCATGTGTTTTTTTTCTTAGTTTTAATTTTCTTATTTTTTAGGTTATTTTATTTTATTATCTATTGTATATACTTTTGATTATTATTTTGTTCTATTATTTTATTTTTTTGTACATATAGTGTGAATGTCATCCTATCTCTCTATAACCAATGTCCAAGAGACAGATTGTTATAATACTCAATAAAGAAATTAAAAAAAAAAAAAAAAAAAAAAAAAAAAAACCTTTCAAAAGTTTTATTATAAATTTTACCTTATAATATATACTTAATATATTATAAGGTCCCATAACATTTTTCTTTTCTTTATAACTTTTTTTCCTGAATTTTCTCGGGAATTTAGTCTATATACGAAAATTGAAAGGACAATAATTAGAACATTATAGAAAAGTTTTACCGAAATCGTTAGAGCCATTTTCGCCCTACGATCTAAAGAAAAACACGTTCTTCATTTATTGCGCACAAGCTATTGCACCGAATTTCACAGGCATCAGTAGTCAAAACTCTACAAATAAAAAAAGAAGCAACAAAATCGGTTCAGTAGTTCCCGAGAAAATCTTGGCACAGACAGACCAATGGCTAAAAATGTTTTTTTCGGACTCAGGGTACTCTGAAACGTATAGATCCGTCGAAAACGGCATATCGGAAATTTGACTCGAATGCAATACTTTCCTTACCTAGTATAGGTTGGAAAGTAAAAAAGATGTGAGCAGCAGAGCTCCGTCACTAAGGTTCTATTTCCCACTTATTTTTAATTAAAAAAAAATAGAAAGCAATTAAATTGTTTCACTGGCAAGGGGTGCCCAGAAGGAGAATTTGTGACGCAACATTTTTAACGGGGTATATCTTGAATTTATGAATGGGTAAACTTCAAGAAGGTTATGAATTTTCGGGAATGAAAAGTTTCAGACAAAAAAACAAGATGAAAACATGGAACCGACCTCAGGAAATGTAATTATGTATGATCTACGATTTTTCTAATTCTACCTTCGTTTGTTCTGTTTATGAGGAAAGGCGAGCAATAAAATATTTTTAAGATGGGGAGCGGTAGATTCTTGTGCCATTGTCCTTGGAGGGGGGGGGGCACCCCTGTTAACTGGAGAAATAGAGAAATAAGAGCTTTGTGAATTATTACTCAAAGATTTATAAATAAAAAAAAATGACGCAGCACCTGAACCGATGAACCAATTTTAATGAATGATTGCCTAAGTCTTTAAATTTACGTTTATAATAAACCATCCGAAAGAAGGCGGAAAAATAATTACATGGGATATCCGGAAAACGCAAAATGGTCATTTGAAAGTATATTAAATCAGCTTAAAAATATTTTTAAAAAACATTACAATTGGACGGTTTGGTAAAAAGATATGTTATTCTAAATATTCTAAAGCTGGGTATTGTTTTATTTTAAATAAAATGGATGACGGATCTTTGTAATTACTGGACGGAATTCTATAAACATTTTTTTATCATTTAGGAAATTTAAATGACGTATTAAAATATGTTCTGAACCAAAAAGGTCAGTCAAAAACTGAACCATTTTTGAGTTATTCGGAAATAAAATTTTGGTATTCGTGAAAACTTCTTTTCAAGTAGTTTTTCGAAAAAGTACGTTATATACATAAATTTAAAATGTTTCATGTGGATTACTTTAGGAATATTTTATTAATACCATTACAACCATTTTAGTGCTGTAGTATATAGAGAAAAGGGATTTTCAGCCGCCATTTTGAAACAAAATGGCTGGTGATGGGGTCCCTCAGAGTCACCTCTACAACACCAACTTTATGTAGATACAAATTTTAACCTTCCAGCTTTGTTAGGAAGAGCTATGGACATGCGCAATACTTTAAAAACAGGGAAAAACGTAAAAAAATGTTATTCCGTGCGGAAATTTGGAAGAAATTTTCCAAAGTTTAACAGTATTGTTCCGCCTGGGAATCAACTCTATATACCGAATTTCAGCTTATTCGGTCAAATAGAGGACGGTATAGAGGTCGAAACATAACAGACTATATACATATAACTGAGATATTTAAAAATTGCCGTGATCTAGGGGTTCCAAAACGGATAGAAACCGCAACTCCGCTCTCCATTGACGACTTCAATACAGTGCAAATGGTCTATTATTTCAGAAGGGAAATAGACAATAAATAAGCATACTAGGAGGGTCACCTCATCCCAGTGTCGACCCATGGCTGATGAAAGAGAATAAATATTTTTTTTTACCATGAGTGGGGATTCGAACACGAGATCTTGAGCATTCTAAAATCACTATCCTACCACTGAGCTATCCTACTTATTAGCTATAAAATGAAGAGGTTTTGACGAATTGCAGAAATTAGCGAATATAAATGTGTCAAGGCTTAAAAATTAAATAAACGTAAAAAGTGAATTTTAATCTTAAAGAACACAAGGGAATAAATAATGTTTAGCAATAAAATACAGTACCATATTGCCTAATACGGCTCAATTCAGTAACGATTAGAATCAATGCTGCTAGACTTGAGTTTGATATAACCT